AGCTCACCTGAGAAACCTATACAGGAGCACGTGGCGACTGTACACTCTGCAGTGCATGGCCTAGGCTGGAGCAGCAGGGCAATGAGGGGAAGGCAGGTCCCCTGAGGTGAGTATACAGGACAGCACCTGATGGTGTCTACCAGGCTACCTGACCTGACCTGGCCTGTGGCAGCACCTTAAGCTAGACTCCTCCCAACCATGACTTCACCTTTTTCTGGAATTGTGCCACCCTTGCTTCTCTGAGAAGCCAGACCTTTGCGGAGGTGACCATTACCCATTCAGAGAGAGAGAGCACAGTACTCTTCAAATCTCAGTGGCATCTTGCCTGCCACCCTCCGTGCCCCAACACAACCAAGAGGGCAGGTGGCAGATAGTGACAGTTACAGAGGGTCTTACTCAGATGGCATGGCTCCTCTGGTGAGGTTTCTGAACTGCTGGTGAGGTGTGAAGAAGACATGTGGCATCAGGAGCCATGGCATTCATGTCCCATGGGACCCCAGGACATAAGGCCAGCACTGGGAAAGCAACTTGAGTCAGAGGGCTGTGGGAACCTCTATCGGTCATGTCCTTCATGTGACATAGGAAGTGGACAGATTCTTTCTGTCCCCAAAGCCTCTTTCCAACAGAGCATCTGAATCAGTATCCCATGATGTGGTCACTTCGGGGGTCACAGAGTGGCTTCATCCCAGTTCCCAGGAGCATCTGCTGTGACCCATTCCCTCTGCTCTCCTGGAAGCCCAAAGAAGAACCTTCATCACCTCTGGAGAGATCAGAGCACACGATGTTGAGATTCCCAGAGCCTGGAGGAACGGGGTCACAGGTCAACTCTGAAGAACTCAAGAACGGCTACCCAGGCACCCAAATCTCCTTCCTCCATGCCTAAGACATGTTCTAACTCTGTCTCTCCAGAGACATCTTCTGGAGGAGACCCCAGAAGGCTCAGACTGAGGTGCTGGACGGGATGTAGGAACCACAAATACCAGGCCTTTGCAAACACAGCATCTACACTCTGGGCGCTGCTGACTCCTGCAGCCTGGAGTGATTCTTGAGTTCCATCTTAGACACTGTCAGGTGGCCGTCACCTAAGCGCAGGGTTCGGGCCCAGCCAAGGAACTGAGCCAGGGGGTAGTCACTGCTGAGGCCTGCTGCTCCAAAGGCCTGGCAGACACAAAACAGAAGAAAGCCTGAGTTCTAAAAGTGATAGCCTGCTCAAAACAGCTGGCAACTGCTGTCTCAACAGAGGTCCTCTGTACCACTGTGTGTTCCAGACTTCACATAGGGCCATATTGTCATCCTCTGGATGCCTGGCTTACCAAGCCCATTCTACCAGGTTTGCTTCTGCTACTGAGAAAGTTCTGTGTGGGACCAGGTGTCAGGGTGTGCACACTGCGGAGTCAGGGCACTGGGTCTGAGCAGCAACAGGGCTCCCTTAGGCCTGAGGCCCGCTACTTGTAAGCAGAATACACTGAGGAAGACACATACTGTCCTACTGTCCTGGGGGGCAGGGGCGGGGGTGTGGGACCTGCACAAGCTCAGTTTGGAGAGGAAGGCAGCAGGCACACCCGGAGACCAGTCCAGGGCAGCTCACCTGAATAGCGCGGTCAATTACTCGATAGGCCATGGAAGGGACTGCCATCTTAATCATGGCAATCTCTAAAGCTGCAGCCTGCAGGAGAAGGCAGAGTTAGAAAAACAGGATGAGGAGCGAGGAGAAAAGACAAACTGACTGTCAGGGTGGATGCTGGATACACTGCTGCAGGCAACAGTGGACCAAAGCTAGACCTGGGCATCCTCGCATCCTCAAGTTGCCAGCAACGAGGGCATCAAAGAACCAGGACAGAATCCCCGGCTCCACTACCTGGTAGGGCAGCTCTTGCCTGGCTCTACGGCCCCTGCATAGGATGCTGGGTAACACAGCAGTCCACATGCATCATGGCCACCCACTATAGGAAATGGGTAATGTTGCTATGGGAACAAGCTCCTCTGTAAGCTAATGCTGGATTTGGACCAGGTTTAGGGGGTCCCTTCTCCCAGCTCTCCTCCTTCATCTGCCTCCTGCACCAGGTCTTGTTCAAGACCTGGAAGTACAGAGTGGTGGAAGTTCACCTCTATCCCCGGGCCTTGTCTGGCTTGCAATAGATGACCCTCTAGAGTGCAAGCAGAACATTAGCGGTCATCAGTGTCCAGGACCTGAGCCTTCCCACAGTTGCCAAACAACAAGAGACAGGGAGATGCCAGTGTCACCTCTGGGTGACGCCTGTCACCTCTGAGGCCTCCTACCTTATTTCCAGCCACATCCATGAGGTGGGCAGCTTTCAGCACCAGCAGCCGAGCCTGCTCGATGTCCACACGTGACTGGGCAATGTCTGCCAGGATGGTGCTGTGCTCCACAAGGGGCTTCCCGAAGGCTGTGCGGGACATCACCTACAGACACCAGAGAGACAAGGCTGAGGAGCTGGGACGAGAGAGCAGATGTGGGAGCAGCCTGCCTGACAGCTAATTGGCGGTGAGGGTCTGAGTGAGGCAGTGCACTGCTCATTACAGATGCCACGCCTATAGAGAACAACCTCCCGAGGCTGATGGCTGATCACAGCTACAGTGACCTTGGGGAGCTTGGAATGCTACAGGTCAACAGCCAGGAATCTTGGGCTATCACAGCACCTCAATAGTCATTTATTGCCCTCTGCTGTGTGTGACAACAACCTTGTGACCAAGGTTAATCTTTCAGGAATGTGAAGATCGCTACCTTCTACCAACCCAAGAGCTAAGAAAGTCATCAGGTAGTGCCAGAGACACACAGCAGAGATGTTTCCACTTGGGCTGTGCCTCGCCTGCCTGAAGCACCATCAGTGCACCTGCAAGTGTTCTGTGACTTCCTCCTTTGTTACTATAGAGACTTCATGAAGCTGGCCGGGCAGCACACAGGCTTAATGCCAAAGGGAGAAGCAGGGGGTCTCTATGAGGTCTATGCTGTGTGTGTGTGTGTGTGTGTGTGTGTCTGTGTGATTCATCCTTAG